TATTGTATATAGTAGTTTATGTTTATATTTTTTTTATGCAAATTTTTCTTTAATTTTTTTTTTTACATTTTTTTGCAAAAAATTTTTTTTGTTACTTTATCCTTCTGAACTTGTGTGATTAAGTTTTTGTTTTCTCTTACATATTTTCTCACTCATCTTATCTCATCCGTTCATTTTCTCTTTTTTTTTTCGTTTTTCTTAGCGTTACTCTTCTATATTTTTGTGTTAATTCCAACTTTTTAAATAGTATTGTTCCTTATACTTCTTTTTTTATTACTTGTATTAATGTAGTTTTCTTTCTTATTATTTTTTATTTTATTTGTTTATTTTATGAAGGTGTCGCTCCATTGACTTATTTCTAATATGAGTGACACCTAACATAAATTTGTAAATTATAATTAAGTTTGTAATTTTTGATTTTATGGTTAATTAACCATAAACGCATACGTAGTATGTACAGTAAGGATTTTGTTATCCTTTTATTTATTTAAATAAATGGATAAAAAACTTTGCTGTACATACTACGCATGCCTCAAGACTGTCAAGCATGGCGTACATATTGCACATCAAAGATCAGCCTGGGGATTACATATGCAAATGTTGGATCCATCTCTTTTCACAAAGGTAATTTTGACATTGTTAGAAAAAGAGGTCTGTAGTACCTATCTATCACTCCAGGTTCACATTACGGCCTCTCAATTGTGTTGAAGATAGCAGCCATATGTGCGTTCAAAATTTAAATCACTGTGAAACTTGTATTTGGTGTTTGCCCTGTCCTCTGACGTGCTGGAAACAGCGAGCAATATGTGCGCATGAAATTCAAATCACTGTCAAAATAATTTTAAATATTTAATTTATAATATTGAAATGAAATAATATAAAAAAAAATGTTTTAGAAATACAAATGAGTACAAAATTATACAAATGTACTTTCATAGTACAGGATTTGAAAAAAGTATAGTTTGTGAAAAAAGAGTAAAAAAACTCATTAAATGAGAATAGCAGGTCACCTTAATTATCTACTCAATTTTTTGGCAGATTTCAAAGTTCTTGCAAAAGATGATTGTATCTATGAAAATATTGAATTTAAAATCAATCTTGCTGTTATCATATGTAATGCACCAGCTAGAGCATTAGTAAAGTGTATAAATGACACAATAGTTATAACTGATGTGAATGTTGTGCTTAAAATGGAGAGTTGTGATACAAGATAATTCTCCTACATATTTTACTAATTTTAAGCACTGATTCAGATTTTTTGTCATTAAAAGCATTCTGAACATCTTAGTGGTGTGTTAAATTGAATTAAAATTTGACATGGTGACAAAGTTTACTTAGACTTAATGCATCTAGTATGCTTAGGGGTAATGCGAAGATTTCTCAACTTATGGTTGAATTGCCCAAATGTTGTAAATTGTCTCAGATTACAGTCAATACTTTATTTGGCGTTTTGTTCCAGATACGTCATTACATTCCAAGAAATTTTTATAGAAAATCAAGGTCTTAAATAGATACTAAAAAATGGAAAACAACTGAGCTTAGACTATTTATAGTAAACACTGGACCAGTTATTTAAAGGAAATGGTTTAGCCATAAATGTATTCACTTTTTTAGATTTTTCAGTTGTAGTTCTACTTTCATAATGTTTCATTTTGTTGAAAAAATATGTTAATTTTGCTTTTCAGCTACTTATCTTTATATGTGAACTTTATCATAAGGATTAACTAGTGTACAATGTCTATTCATTAGCACATATAGGAAATAATACAGTTAAATTTTAGGTACTTGATAGATGTCCTACATTCAAACACAAAACTTTTTCAGGTCAATTAAAAAATGTTTGTCTAGGGGGCTCATTTGCAAATTTAGGGACCCTTTTACAAATGTAAGGATTTTTTTTTTTAGGATTTTTAATTAGATTTTGTTTATCTATTGGAAAAGTGTTAAGGAATTTTTGGGCTCTAATGACAGGTTTTTTTTTTGGAATGAGGGACTTGTATCTAGTAGCCACGGCACTGTATTTAAGGTATATACAATATATTTTAAATTATATACAATATAAATAAAAAAATATATTTATTTAATAATTTTATATAATTTATTTATCAGTAACTAAAGGAATGTTATCAATTTATTATATGAATCATAAGCATGTGCTTTTCTATAACAAGTACCTTTGATGGTGAAAATTACATTTTTTATCTGAAGAGAGTTGGGAGAAATGGTAAGAGTTTTATAACATATTAAAATTAATGTATGTGTTACCAATAAAATTTAAAACTAACAGTTAAACTTCATTTTTTATAGTTCATATTGAAACGATATATTGTGTAAAGAGGTTTTCAAAGAAGTCGTTTTACAACAATGGAAAAGCTTTCGATTCCCGAGATAAACGTGAAAGCATTTGATACATGATTAAAGAATTGTTCAAAGGTTTGCTTAATTTTGACAGTATAATTTTAATTATTTTATTTTTGTGGAAATAACCAATCAATTTATATATAAATTTGATTTTCTGTAAATTTCAAACATTCAAACGTAGTTTTGCAAGATTTGCAATGGGTAAACCTCGTGGGACCCTCACGGGAAACCCGGTGGGCATACCCATATGGGCCCCAGAAGAAAACCGCGGCCATGATCCGGCGGGTTTCCGATGGGTTTCCCATATGGGTCCCATTTGCAAAGCCAAATGGGTCCCTTACGGTTTTAAAGTACGGGATTTGACTGGGACCCATACGGGATACTCGGCGGGCTAACCCATATGGGTCCCATATGGAAACCGCGGTCATGATCCGGAGGGACACCGTTGGTCTTCCCATACGGGACCCAGTTGACGACCCGTATTGGCCCCGTACGGTACCCGTATGTCAATGTTGGCTGGGTATATATATACATTTATATATATATATATATATATATATATGTATATATATAATATATATATATATATATATATATATATATATATATATATGTATATATATATATATATATATATATATATATATATATATATATATATATATATATATGTATATATATATATACATATATATATATATACATATATATATATATATATATATATATATATATATATATATATATATATATATATATATATATATATATATATATATATATATAAATATATATATATATATATATATATATATATATATATATATATATATATATATATATATATATATATATATATATATATATATATATATATATATATATATATATATATATATATATATATATATATATATATTATATATTATATATTTATATATATATATATATATATATATATATATAAAATAGAAATTAAAAAGAGTACACAAATCAGTGAAATTCTTTAAAACAACTTGAATCTTAAGAAATACAACTATAAGAAATAACTAAAATATGTAAAATATATGTACATAACGTACAAAAACATGGATTCTTGCCCTAGTAATTTGTGTATAACAAATTTGCTAGAGACTATCAACTTTATATCGAACAGTAAAAAGTTTTATATTATGCATATAGGGAAAAAAAATCCAAATTCTAATTTCGAAATAAAGTTTGCCAAGTTACAGTTTAATAATAGTTCAAAAAATTATATGTATATATATATATATATATATATATATATATATATATATATATATATATATATATATATATATATATATATATATATAATATATATATATATATATATATATATTATATATATATATATATATTCATATATATATATATATATATATATATATATATATATATATATATATATATTATATATATATATATATATATATATATATATATATATTAAACATCTTCGCTTTCATTTTTTTTACCACTAGTTAGAGTTAGAAACAACTGGGAAAAAAAGATAAAGATTGTATAGCAAGATAACAATTGACAGACGACTTAAAAGATTGCAAATGATATGAATCAGCAAAGCAAGGTGAATAAGTAAAACTTTTTGTATTAAAAAATTTTATGTCTAAAAATTTTTCATTTTAGGTTTTAATAATTACCTTCTAATCTATTTTTTATTTTGTTTCCTTTAAAATGTTTTTAAATTATAAATTTGAACTTCCTGTTGGTTGCAATTTATTGAAAGCTTTTGGTTGGTAGCGACAAGTTAATGTTCCAATATATTCAAAGCAACAGATAATTAATAGGGTATTGTATTTTCACTTTTAATTGTGTTGTTGTAAATTAAAAATTGTTATTCAGTTTTTTAAAGCACTATTTAGTTAGCAATAAATCAAATGTAATTTTTTCAATCAGGTTGATTTTTAGAATCTCAACATTAGTACGTGTTCCCAAAATAATTGTATACGGAAACAGTTAGCAGTTGAGTTCAGGTATGTTATGTTTCAGCTTTTTGTTTTGAAGCAATTAAATTTTCTCATATTTATTATTCATACTACATTAAATAAAAATCCTTCCTTCTGACATACATAGTTAGTTCGCAACTTTTGCATCATTTGAACTTCGATTACAAATGACTGCTTCAGAATGTTAGTGCCTAGTTTGAAAAATAATTTTAATATGAAATATAACAGGGTGTCATCAAAGCTATCTTCAGTTATTCTCATATAAATGTTTAAAACCCAAGCATCATTTTCTTGTGCATTATCCTTTAAGTCTACTAATTAAAGTAAGCTCCACGACTTTAGTGTCCTTTGTTGCCTTAGGGAGTTGAATTTTAAAAGCATATATAAAATAATAGATTACTTAATTTGTTTTATATTCAGTATTTACTTTATTCAAAAAAAAACTCAAAGGAGCCATATCAATTGTCAAAAGTAAATTAAGGGAATAAAGATATGTAAGTGTTTTGGCATTAATCAGCTTGTTTCAACAAAATTTTTCAGCAAACGTTTGTATGATTTTACAAATATTTGGATCAACTTTCTGTAAAAGCAATTGTGTTTCATATGTTAAGGATAATTTTTTTTGTGCAAAATCACACACTAGAAAGTTAAAATAGAAATTAAAATAGATTAGGCGCACCAAAAAAGTGAACGTATTAATTTTAATATAAATATCTTTTAAACTAGAGTATGACAGTTGATGCTAATGTTGATATTCTAAATTACGTTGTGCCATTGATTTTTATACTTCGATCAGCAAGGTATATAAAAGTGGATTTAAATACATTATTGGTTGAACATGCTGGTTTCAGAGATAGTATTACTATTTTTGACAACGTTTTACGTTTTTGATTTGCAGTATCCAAACGAATTGCGAGTAGTATTTTCGTTACTTGAAAAAGTTTGTGGCATTCCAGAAAAAATTACTAGTTTAATTGCAAATGATTATATTAGACAACTGAATATTAAGTTAAATTTATAATAAATCTAGGTGCAATATAGTTTTTTTTTTCTATTGCATAATTAGTTTTCTACTGGGTTTTTATCTAATTTTGACTTGTTTTTGTTTGACAAATCATCTGAAATATGTTAAATATTTTAGTGAAAAGTATATTCATAAATTTTAAAAAGTTTGTGTTTTTTTATTTTAGTTTATATCTTTCTTTTAGGATAACAACTAAAAATATAAAAAATTCCATTTTTTAAGCTTTAATTGATCACTCTTTATGTTATGCATCTTTTGTTGTGCTGGTTTATATTTTATTGAAAGTTGATACATGCATCTTTTTGATGCAATATATCTATATTTTGAATGCGTTTGCATTTAAACTTTATACGAGAAATAAAATATATTAGTAGACGTACAATAACAGTTAATATAAAATTTTACTCAATTCGAAGTTTTGCTCGATCCGCTGTCTTAAAATAAAGAAACTCTCTCTATTATTCTTCTAGGCATTTAATATTTCTTTACTAGAAGTATGAGTGAGACATTTTTACTTTCTCTGGTAAAGATATAAAAAATTAACAGCCTTTATAATATTACGTTAATTCAGCAAGTTGCATTATATACGTTGATGCAACATTGATTATATAAAGAAAATTATTACATATTAATTTCCTTGTTTTAAGGCATTAAACATTAGTTTCATATTTCAAAGGATACTTTCCTAATGTCATATTTTAACTGGACTAATAACCTACAAAATTTTAAAACAACACATATTTACTTTCTTTTTTTTCTAGATTCAAACACTATGTATTATACTGACTGGTGCGAAGGAATTTTAAAGAAAGTTTGGGAATTTCTGCAAACGCGCTGTGTCAGCAAACAAACAAACTTAACTGGTTTAAAGGGTTTGCTGACTCAGCGAAAGTGATTCCAGAACATTCTATAGCAATTATTCAAAACGACAATAACAATAATTTTATTGTCGTTTTGTTGTTGACAGGAGTTTTGAGTTTTGTTTTACTTTGCTATAGTTTTGTAGATTTTTGTAAAGAATCTTAAAATATAAATATACAATATTTAATGTATTTTGATGCATTTTCGAAACATAAAATGGTAGCAAAGGGTAGTTACATTTAATAATTGTTAATTGTTTGATCTTCGTTGCTTCGAAATTAACTGAAATCGTGAAATCAAAGAAGAACTTTAAAAAAGTAAAAACTATGGGTACAAACCAGAATAAAAAAAAAACAATCATCGGAAGAAGAATCAACAAATAATAAAGATGTTGATATATTTATGGCGTCAGTCAAACAAAACAAAACAATATCAAAGACTCACTTAACGAAAACAAAATAAAAACTGTTGCATTTATTCGATGATAATTTATTAAGCACATTTGAGTTTAAAGAACATCAAAAGAAATATGAAAATCAACATCAGGCAGTAATCGAATTGTTAAACAGTTATCCCAACAATACGAAATTATGGGAAACGTTGATAAAATGAGTTAAATAGTTGACGAAATCAAAAAATCGAAACAGAATTCACTCAAGTTATGGATAAAATAAATGGACGTTTATTCAGTAGAAAAGACAATTCTTAAAGTATAATACCAGCTATTCCATCTAATGTTGAAATATTGCAACGAAAAAAATACAAAATCAAGACACCATTTTCAAGAAGCAGATCGAGCTTAAACAAAAACAAGAAAAAGCTTTGTTAAAAAAGAAAGCACTAGAAGAAAAACACAAAAGGAAATAAGAAGCACTTAAAAAAGAAAATGTTGACGAAAGCACAAGTTTTATGGAAACTAATTATATTTATGCAAATCAAGAAGTTATGCTAGATATTTCAGACAATGAATTAAATGCAGATATTGGTGTCTTTAAATTATCAAAGTCGAACTCAATGTTACTTTCAATTCCAATTTTAAGCCTTGAAAAAAAAGTTAATGCAAGAAAGCAAGATATTGGACACGATATTTTGAGACAGTTAAAAAGAGTTTTGATTCCTGTTTTTACTTGTGATTAGCGTAACTATGAAACTGGAAGTCGGCGTTTTTAGCCTGTGTTAATCAAGCTCCACGACTGCAGAGTACAAGTAGTTACAATTAATACAATATTTGTCTGGTTCTGCGTTAACCACCATTGATGGATTGGTTTACTCAAGCTATGCCTATGAAGCTCCGAAAGAAAAATATGAGCTAAAATATGATGGACACAGAAGACAGTTAATGCTTTACAAAGACGAGTTAGAAAACTTCATATCAATAAAAAATGACTATCCTAAGGATCTGGAAATATCCGCTAAAAAATTTATTAGACAGCAGTTACTAACCTCAAAAAAGCAGAAAAAAGGCAAGAAGAGCTCGGCAATGGAACATTTTGTAGAAAACTCCAAAATTTTTTATAGAAAAATGTTTACTCATTATCAACGTTGGGTTTTCAAAAATGCAAAAGAAGAAAATGTTGAAACCTTACGACAGTTTATTATTATATGATTAGAGTTTTGAATTGCTGCAGCTGAAACAATTCATGGGCTGCAAAGTACAAGTCGTTATAAACTAAAACATGATCAATCGTATTTTAGTGAAACCGGAACAATTGAAACGAGAAAATCGTGGTTGAAAAATCTTGTTTGTAAGCAAAATCATGCCTTGTGGAACTGTGACCAATTTAAACAACTTGATACTATAGATAGATGGATTTTGCCAAAAAGTAATTAATTAAGTTACAGGGTTATTCATTTTTAAATGCGCGTCTATTCATTTTTGCATGCGCCTTTATTCATTCTTATATGCGCATGTATTCATTTTTATATGCGCCTTTATTCATTCTTATATGCGTTTTACAAAAGCAAGTGTAAAAAAAGCAATTTAAATAAAAAAAAAAATCATTAAAGGAATTTGTTTTAAAAAAACAGTTTATTTTTTCAAAAAAAATTTTTCTTATTTTCAGGTAAACGAGGTTAAAAATACTTAAAACGAAGACTTTTTACATTCGACGATGGTTCATTTAATTTAGTATTAATTTTTTGTAATTTTATTATTAAATTTCTTGATTTAAGTTATTATTTATCTAATTAATCATTTATCTAGATTTAAATTTAACTTAACGACAAAATTTTGAACTGTGCACTTCAACAAATTAAGAGAAGTGGAAACGCTTGTTGTAGATTGATTTCTTTCAATTAAATGCTTAAGCATCTCAATGTGCTCTTTTGTAACATTTTTCAATTGGTACTGCCATTTTCTATTCCATCCATTGGGATGTATAATTTGATATTAATGATAATTATAATTAATTAAACAGAGGATAATTCGACGACATGACCTCATTCAAGTCGTTTTCTGATAAAAAACGAGGTAAAACCCCTATAAACTCTCATATAAAAAATATTATCAAATTATGCGTACAAGAAAACAATCTTTGCACGAAAGAAGCAATAAAAAAATATCATTCTGCTTCAACATGTCTCAGTCTACAATTTTAAGAAAACTCAAACGCTCAGATTTATCAAGAAAACGCGTTGTGCGTGTGCCGAAGAACGAAACTCAACACCAGTTATTAATGCACGCTATGCATTTGCAAGCAAAATAAACGGAATTTCAAGTGAAATACATATTTATTTGGATGAAACTGGATTTAATGTGCGCACTAACAGAACATATGGTTGTTTGCTAAGAGGTACGCCAGGAATTTTACAATCAACTGCAAATCGTGGTAAGAAATTTTAGTTTAATTTGTGCTGTTTCAACAATGGGAGTGCTTGCTTATGAAATAAAAACTGGGGGCTGGAATGCAGATTCATTTTGTACTTTCATAACTACAATGATGGCACCAGCAATTAGGAATGCAAATGTTGAAGCGCCGGTGCTTTTTATGGATAATTGTAAATTCCACTAGAGTCTTTCTATTAGGCAAACACTAGCCTCTCATGGTATAGCTATTATGTATTATATTACATGATATAGCTGTTAAGTGTTGATATTAATAATTATTATAAATAATTAAATTTAAATCTAGATAAATAAATAATTAGATAAATAATACCTAAATAAATCAAAAAATCTAACAATAAAATTACAAAGAACTAATACTAAATTAAATAAAATATCGTCGAAAACTAAAAACTAATGCTAAGTTAAATAAACCATCATCGAATGAAAAAAGCCTTCGTTTTACAGGATTATTCATTCTTTTATGCGGGTCTATTCATTTTAATATGCGCCTTTATTCATTCTTATATGCGCATACATTCATTTTTATATGCGCCTTTATTCATTCTTATATGCGCATTTATTCATTTTTATATGCGTCTTTATTCATTCTTATATGCGCATTTATTCATTCTTATATGCGCATTTATTCATTTTTATATGCGCCTTTATTCATTCTTACATGCGCTTTACAAAAGCAATTGTAAAAAAGCAACTTGAACAAAAAAAAATCATTTAAGCAATTTGTTTTGAAAAAATAGTTAATTTTTTCAAAACAAATTTTTCTTAGCTAAACTAGGTTAAAAATACTTACAGGGTTATTCATTTTTATATGCGCGTCTAATCATTTTTATATGCGCCTTTATTCATTCTTATACGCGCATTTATTCATTTTTAAATGCGCCTTTATTCATTTTTATATGCGCTTTTATTCATTTTTATATGCGCATTTATTTATTTTTATATGCGCCTTTATTCATTCTTATATGCGCGTTTATATATGCGTCAACCACCCATAAAATCTCTAATGTAATTTAATATAAATAAAAAATGCGCTTTTAAGTTTTTATATAGATATATTTAAAATATAAATTAGGTTGTTTTCATTGTTATTTACTTAAGAAAAGGTTGCCGAGCCAGCGCTAAATTTATGTAAATACGCATATGGTTGTAAAATGAAACTGTATTAAACTCTGTAGTATTTATAATATTTTGAAGATTCCTGATTACCTCATCCATATTTCGAGACCTTTCTCCCTGTTTGTAAGTATGTTTTAAAGACGAAGAAAATTTTTTTTATTGGTTTAAGCTGTAGCGTGTATGCTGGCAGATACTTAATAGCTATACCATGAGACGCTAGTGTTTGACCAACAGAAAGACTCCAGTAAAAATTCCAATTTTCCATATCAAGCACCGGCGCTTTCACATTTGCATTCCTAATCGCTGGTGCCATCATTATAGTTATGAAAGTACAAAATGAATCTGCATTCTTTCCTCCTGTTTTTTTTTCATAAGGAACCACTGCTATTGTTGAAACAGTATAGATTAAACTAACATTCTTACCACGATTTGCAGTTGACTGTAATATTGCCAGCGTACCTCTTAGCAAACAACCATATGTGCTGTTAGTGTGCACATTAAATCCAGTTTCATCCAAATAAATAAGTTTTTCACCTGAAGTTCCGTTTATTTTGCTTGCAAATGCATAGCGTGCGTTAATAACTGGTGTTGAGTTTCGTTCTTAGGCACATGCACAACACGTTTTCTTGATAAATCTGAGCGGTTGAGTTTTCTTGAAATATTAGACTGAGACAAGCTGAAGCCTGCTGCAGAATGATATTTTTTATTGCTTCTTGCGTGCAAAGATTGTTTTCTTGTACGCATAATTCAATAATAATTTTTTTTAAGGTTTATAAGTTGTTTACCTCGTTTTTTATCAAAAAAAGACTGTCGTCGAACTGTCCTCTGTTTAACTTAACGACAAAATTTTGAACTGCGCGCTTCGATAAATTAAGAGAAGTGGAAATGCTTGTTGTAGATTAATTTCTTTCAATTAAATGCTTAAGCATTTCAATGTGTTTTTTTGTAACACTTTACCCTGTTTTACGATTGGTACTGCTATTTTCTATTCGATCCATAGGAATGTATAATTTTATATTAATAATAATTATAAATAATTAAATTTAAATCTAGATAAATAAATAATTAGATAAATAATAACTTAATTGATCAAGAAATGTAATTATAAAATTACAAAGAACTAATACTAAATTAAATAGAATCAAAAAGAAAGAACTAATACTGAATTAAATAAACCATCGTCGAATGCAAAAAGTCTTTGTTTTAAATATTTTTAACCTCGTTTACCTGAAATTAAGAAAAATTTGTTTTGAAAAAATAAACTGTTTTTTCATAACAAATTGCTTAAATAATGTTTTTTTGTTCAAACTGCTTTTTTACAATTGCTTTTGTAAAACGCATATAAGAATGAATAAAAGCGCATATCAAAATTAATAAATGCGCATATAAGAATGAATAAATGCGCATATAAAAATAAATAAATGCGCATATAAGAATGAATAAATGCGCAAATAAAAATAAATAAATGCGCATATAAAAATGAATAAAAGCGCATATAAAAATGAATAAAGGCGCTTATACAAATGAATAAATGCGCATATAAGAATAAATAAAGGCGCATATAAAAATGAATAGACACGCATATAAGAATGAATAACCCTGTAAATTGTATACCTCAAAAATTACCATATTAACACCTAATTAAACATATTTACAGTTTCACTTTAACCATATAAACACATTAACAATTACACACATTACACCGTACAAATATATTAACAAATATATATATATATATATATATATATATATATATATATATATATATATATATATATATATATATATATATATATATATATATATATATATATATATATATATATATATATATATATATATATATATATATATATATATATATATATATATATTTATATATATATATATATATATATATATATATATATATATATATATATATATATATATATATATATATATATATAATATATATATATATTTGTACATATATATATAATTATTATCATTAAAATATACACTTTATTTTAGGACATATTTAGACAACAATTTTAGACAGTTAAACTGTTTAAAAGTTGAGTTTAATTTACTTAACTTTTAATTTATATAAGAGTATATTTTGACTCTAAGTATACTTTTATATTGAAAAAAAAGTTGAAGTAAGAACCAATAAAAGTTAATAATGAAAGCAAATAATTATTTAAAAAAAAAAAAAAAAAAAAAAAAAATTACTACGGTTAGATTTCTTTAAAATTGATTTCAAAGAAAGTAAACAAATCTACGATTTATATTAAATTGTAATAGCTAAAATTGAATGTTG